CATCATCAGGAAGATATCTTTACCCTCATCTTCGACCAATCTGTGCAGTGTATTCCTGATCACATCCGTGTCGGTCTTGCAGTCTGCGACGGTAGGATCAGCCGGATCAATGGATGGGTAATCTGCATAGTGAACGGGATAGCCAGCATCAGAGCAGGCATCGAGGAAAGGCTGGTACAATTCGCGGGTGATCCAAGCACCGGGGATGAAGACAAGGGTTGCCATTGTGAAAAGGGCTGGGATACTTTGGCAGGAGGCGATAATTGAGCGATGGACTATGAAGGAGGGAGCGATTGGCTTTGGATGTAATTTATATATGGCACAGTTACTTAAACCTGGAGCCCTGGTAAAAGTCATCCGAGAAGCTGGTCACGCAGCCTTGCGATGGCGAAGGAAGTGGTTAGTGCTGACATGTCCCCAAACCTTTCCCATTCCAGCTAGACTTATTGAACTGACCAGCTGGCGATCCCACCATCCGCCAACTTTCTTTGTTTCCTTTCAACTGGCTGGTTCGAGGCCTTGGAATCCATGAAGTTGACTACTTTTCTTATTGGGTGTTTGGTGGCTACCAGCATCTCTAGCGCGATGTCAGATCCCGAGTCCCGGGCATTTGTGATTTCCAACCAACAGCAAGGAAGAAGCTGATAGATTGGGTGCGAGGCAACCAACAATCATAGATGTGACTACATCTTCATTAGTAGTACTTGGGAAGAATTACTCTATATTTTCTTTGTTCCTTGACTCACTCGCCATATAATGGATTTGGCAGCTAAAAGAAGTCTGGTATAATTGTCTAAGTTATTGAATTCAAGTAAGGTTATCTCTTACGCTGATCGTGTAGATCATACTGCAGCTACCCGACCTGTCGTAACTATACCTACCTAAAGTAGTAGATAGTGGTTGCTGCGAAAAGGTATGACTACTGCCGGCGACATGTTGCGGGCTGCTACATCTCTCAACCCACCTATGCGGCTTAAAGACAGATGCTCCAGGTGGACGGTCCACGTCCTCGCACTACCTTTGGTGATAGGCTGATACAGCTAACAATTGATATTTATGCACAGCAATAATTGTACAAAGTATCATTCATTGTCTCTCATATCTATGAGATACCCCATAACCCCTCGAGCCGCTCATTATGACAACGGCTAGGAAGTTGTCCTTCTCATTATATACACAATCCCTATCGTTTCATCATAATTTTACTGACACTCTATGCCTGCTGCTGTTGGCGACCAGCCGTCGAAGCCGACCACGTTTTCTGCACCGGGTTCATCATGTTCATGGCGACTTCATGTTCGCGTTGCACCCTCTTCTGCCAGTACCGACCGAGGATAAATGCTGCTGCACCTATCAGCGCAGCACCAGCCACTGTTCCGACCACAATTCCTGCAATGTCCCCTCCAGACAGTCCGTTCGAGCCTCCCGAGCTGCTGCTGCTGGAACTGCTAGCTGATGTGGTTGACGAGGACGACGACGACGAAGACGAGCTGCTCGTGTCGGCCTCTGAGACATTGAAGCATGGGATGTCGGTGGTGAACGAGCTATACGGTACGTAGGTAATATCAGCACATGCATAGTAAGTCTCGTTACCGTCATTGTCGAAATCGGAGATATATTTCAGTTGAAGAGTAGCGTTGGACCCAGAAGTGATGTTGGACGGTGGGTTGGGCACTGAATAACATTCGTGACCAGGCTCGACGTCGGGAAAGCGGCTGCCAGCCACAACAGTGCTGAAATCGGCATTCTTGGTTGGGTCTAATGTATGTTAAAGATGTTCTAAAATTGGCGAACCCGGGGAACTTACCATTGTCAAAGGAGATAGCAAGGTTGACGGAGTATGATTCGTCCTGAAGGACTATAGAAACGGCACCGTTTGCTGGCGAAGGAAAGTGGCGTTAGTCAATACGTAAGACGAACATACTATGACAGAACACTGCTCACTGAGAGGAAATTCGGTTCGGTTTGTAACGCCCGCTGATGAACCGCAGGGGGCTGTGGTGTCCCAGGTGGCTCCCCAGGCTCTGTCCGGCGGCCACAGAAATGCCGCAGCACCCATATCGGTGGCTTCAGCAGCATACACGCCTGAAACCATGAGGCTAGCTGCTGCTAGCAAGCTAGTGAACATGTTCATGGAAGGCATTCTGTTACCGGGAAGATAAGTGGATTCCGATAAAGGGGTTTTTCAGGCACTGATGGCTTCCTCTGGAGATTGAAGATGGATCGGAGTGGATTGAAAAGAGAAATTCGAAGGATGATCCGTTCGTTGCATCTCTTATATAACAGACATCGTGCCCAAAAGCTCGCTGTTTCGTCGGTTCAATCACCATGGAATTGCACCAATCCATTACTGATCGGGGTCATGGAGGCGGCCATCTCCAATGGAAAAAGTTCGGGAATGCCAATGGCATGTGATGGGCATCCACTCTCTTCTGGAGCATGTCACCATGCATTCGGTTCCAAATTCCGCCGTTAGGCGAGCTGTTCTGACAGAGTCGGGCTTCCAGTCGTGGCAATCCACTAACGGTAAGTTAGGTTATCAATCAGTAAGAACTAGTCTGGTTCTGGAAAGGAATGAATGGCACTAATCACAGATTCCCCTCCTTTGCGGTCACGATGCATCTGAATCACCCGTGAATTGACAGTCGGAAAGGGCAGCTCCCGGCATCGGATCATATCAGATCGATAAGGGCTCCACCGCGGCCCAATTGGACACTCCGTCAGCTTGCTCCAGGTTGGAAGAGCAAACCTCTAGGAGCCCGTTACTCCTCGATATTCCCTTTTGAAAAAAGAAAACGGTTCAACTACATCGTACGTATTCCAGCAGACCCCCAGGGTCAACGATGGGCAATAGGTACCAAGGGAACAGTGGGCCGTGGGCCCGCTCCCTGAAAAGGGTACCCGGTGGGCCCCGAGCACTGGAGGGTCCCGAATCGCGCAAATATGCCTGCATCCTGATGGCAGAATCTGTCTGGACGCTGTTTTCTTCCTGCCAAGACGTTGGCCTGTTCGCCATGACACATGGAATTGTGGACCGAGTTCCTTCCTTGTACATTATCTCCGAGCACCCATGCCAGCTAACGACGGATCCTTGGCGTTCCAAAATTTTCTTCCCTGAGTGGGTATCCTGGGACCGGGACGACTGGAAGTATGTGGTTTAGCTCAATTCATGGTCTATTAGGGTTTATAAGTATTTTCATCGGGGTCCACACTCATTAGAATGACAAGCTTCGACCAAAGGCGTACTTGAATAATTTACCCGGGCTGACCAGCTCCACCAGAAATTCCCTACCTTGACTGGCATACCGAGCCGAATGAGATGAACGTCCGAAAATCGGACTCTCATATGTCCTGCTTGTAGACCCTATGATGTAACCTCGCGACATACTACTAAAAGCCCTACACCGTTCAGACAGCTGACTGGTCCGGAAACCAGTGTACACTTGCGGGATTAATCTATTAGAGTCCAGGCGAGCGCCACCCTTAGCTCCTCCTTATTGTACTGCAGATTCCGTCTGCACTGCACTGTAAGGAAGTCACCAGACCAGGAACCCGCCTGAACCCGAGTAATATCTACTAGTCTATAAACATTGTGGAATGGAAATTCATGGGTCCCAAAAGGTATGGCGGGACATGATCCGGTGGCCTGACAACTTTCTCATGGTTACCGGCGTCAGTGCAAAAATGGATCGAAATATTACTGGGTTTACTAGCTTACAGGATAGAGGTCGGTGCAGCCCACGGAGTCATTGGAGCATATAACCGTGCCGATCCCACTGAGCACACCTATTCTACATCACAAGCTCATTGGACGTGAAGCATCTCTCTTCTCTCTATCACGTTATCCGATACAGGCACGGCTGCAGATCTAGAGATGCAGTCACTTCTTTTCATACTCGCTGCTGTTGCAGCTCTTGTCACCCCCGGCTTTCCATGGAGCTTCCCTGGCACATTTCCTATAGTGAGGAGGGAATCGATCGAACCTGGCAGTCCGTTGTATGAGTGCCATGCCAATTGCGGTACGTGGGGTGCAGCACCAATTGATTTGTTCTTTCATGGAATGTCTCGATCACATTCATGATGCCTTTATACCTTTACCATGTCCATTCTCAGTCCCACCGCTACATGCAGCTAACTCGAGAAATGTTGCAGGTGGCGTCATTCTCATCTCCCAAGACAGCGATGATTACTGTTCCAATTCAACCTACAAGTCCGAGCTCAGTGCTTGCCTGAAGTGTGCTTTGACATACAACATCTGGCAGTACTACGGCGACGACGTAAAGTCTGCAGCCGAGGCTTGCGGGGACAGCGCCACTCCCAGTGCCTCTTCCGCCACCGGGGCTGCAGCCACTGCGACAGCTGCTTCTAATAGTGTATGTTATTCTATCAAGTGTCCGGTAACACACTCAGATATAACTAACGGGGCCTTATTTGCAGTCTGCTACAAACACTGGGAATATGGCAACCATCACTTCCACGGCTACACGAAGCAGCTCTGCTTCATCAGCAACGTCTACTTCCGGTGCTACTACTTTGCTCGGTTCCAACGCATTAGTGTTGGTGTTAGCTGCTGCGGCCGGAGTAGGGGCTTTGATGTAGAAATTCTTTTGGAGAATAAAGGATTGGATTCTAGTCCTTGGGGGTGAGTGTGGGGACTTGATACAAAGGGGCTGGAGTCCGAGTAATGAATATGGATCACCATAGAAATCTCTCTGCGTAGTATAACATCCTGAGAATGATACTTAAAGCAAATAGACTTACATCGCCTCCTGATAACGGCACGATTCTCCGTGGCTCAAGGTTGGTAGGAAGGGGACTATGGCCAAAAATAAGGCAATAATAAATTTATCATCAATGGTCGACAGATGAACAATGTACTTCACTAAGCACTTTATGGCCGAAAATATGTTTTGTTTTCTGATCAGTATTACGTCTTTATATGGCTATTCACAGATTCAATTGGAGGTACGCTAGTGGTAGTAAGTGATACGCTCAATGAAAGTGATGCATCGCAAATGGCCCAGGGAAGCTACGTAGATCCTAAGTACACGCATAATAAAATGGCACTAATGTAATATACATGAATAGATATTATGCTTCAATATTGCGATGCGCAGCCCTGTTTGGCTGTTTAGTAAAGGGGTACCTTGTAGGCGTCGAAGGTGTAATCCCAGGTGTCAAGAGAGGCCTGGTCGTAGACACAGTTGAACTTGGTGCCGTTCTCGGTCCAGAGAGGACGAAGGGGCCAGGAGCAAAGCTGGGCGTTCTGGCCCTCCCACTCACCCGCCAGGTGGGTGGCGTTGAGGGTGTGAGGAACGATACCCTTCTCAACCCAGTTGATCATGACAGCCAGGTTGGTCTGAGGGAAGGGGCCATTGGCCTGGACATCGTTGGTTGAGCAGTGAGAGGCACCCGGGACCAGGAACAGGCGGTACCAGTCACCCATAGCAGCGACACTGGCGTTGTAAGACATGTCCGGGTACATGATATTGCGGACGGAGTTGTAAAAGTGGACCGAAGAGCCAGTAGGAATAGACTGATCAGATTCACCGTGGAAAGTGATGATCTTACCACCCGCCTTCTCAAACTCAGTCAGATCGGGCCAGGTAGTCTGCATGACGTCCTCGTAGCGCTTCCAGCCCAACTCCATCCAGTCACGGAGGGTGTCGTAGGTGACATTGTCGAGGGTAGACAGGTTGTCGGCATCGCGGAGCTCTAAGAACTTTGCAATCCACTCACCACCGGTAGAGGCAATGCTCAGTTCATACTCGCCAGTCTCGGAGTTGTAAGAGGTCTCGGCGTCACTGAAGGAGGCAGTAGGCTGGTAGGAGATGTAGGCACGGCGGCCCTTGGAGTCATGCAGACCCTTGAGGATTTCAGCAGCCACGGCAGCACCCTTGGCAGAGACGGTGCCGTTGATGGCGGGGTCAGTGCCACGCTTGCCGAAACCAAGACCAATTCCGCTGCTGGAGCTGGCAGCGCAATGGTAGGGAAGGCCAATGGTGGAGTTGATGTTAAAGTGGAGCTGGCAGAGATCGGTACGGGCAACAACACCATCGACCTTGCCATCGAGAGAATCACAAGCGTCGATGGTGGCATTGACGATCTTCTCCAGTTCACATGGAGGGGGGTAGTATCCGAGGGTCTTCTCAACAACGTTGGAGTAAAGATGGTTGGCCTGCTGCTGGCCGTAGCGAATGGCAGGGGCACCAGGGATGACACCGTCATAGACGCCAGGGTACTTCTGAACCTGACTCCAGCCTTCACGACCACCCTCGGAGCAACCCTGGTAGTAGGTGTAAAGCTTCTCGTCTCCCATGCTATAGAAATTTTTAGTGAACTCCTTGCCGACGATGGTCAGCTCGCCGATACCGTGGTATCCCATGGAGTAGAGGGCCTCGTAGTTGATCGTCCCATTGGCCAGGAGGAAGGCAGTGTCCAATTCGCCGCCGAAACCGCCGTCGGTGGTACCGGCAACAGCACCATACATGACACCACCGGGCAGATAGCTGGAGCCGCCGCTGATCATGTACGCCATGCCACCTGTGGCCAGGAAGCGGTTCTCGAAGCTCTCGGGGGCGGGAAGCCAGTACTGCAATTTCACGGTGTCACCGCGACCATTATGGGTGTAGTTGAACGTGACGCCGCAGTAATCGTAGGTGGCATCGGGGAAGAAAACCTGGCCGCTGGTAGAGGCGTTGTAGACGGGGGAGGCGGTTACAGAGGAAGGAATCATGGTGAGTCCGTACACAGAGGTAGGCAGGGCAGCCTTGACGTTGGCAGTGGTACAGACATCAGCCAGAGAAGCTGCATGGGCAGCAGTGGCGGTCAAACCCGCCATCATCGCAGCACGACGCATAATGGGCTTGCAGCAAATGAGAGATGGAATTATGGTGCAAATGATATCAAGGCAGATATAGAATTAAGTAACCTGGTTAAAGAGGGTAGGGGAAAGAGTGGATGAACGATTGATGTCTTCTGGGCAATAGATGTGGTCGGAGGGAGCCTGGGTCTTATATGTCCAGCATCTAACCATGACAAGCTCTCTCTTGGTCTGCCGTGTAAAAGAAATCATCGTTGTGGCGGAACAAGGCGAAAAGCTGGTCAGGAGACGCTCCCAGTGGATGCGGGTGACACTGGAATTCGAACGCCTCCCTCTCCCGGCCCCGGGTAGTGGTTGATACAAGAACGCGTGTCCAACGGGCCACTGAGAAAGTTAGTATGGTAACCTAATGGATAGTTTCTACAATATAGACAGATCGGTTGAAAGCTCCGAGTTGGAACACGCTAGAACGCATCTTGGTAGATTCGTCACAACGGGAGGCTGGGTGGGTCCAGGGCACCATTGTCTGCAGAAATACTCGGAATGATGCTGGAACCATTCCGAGCACCAGTTGATGATCTCTTGTAGGTTACTTCCACATCATTGTTCTCATCACTCCTGTTCAGGCGGTCTATAGTTTGTTCCCAACCCAATGTAGGTGTACCTGCACTTGGACCAGGCAAAATCCTTGTGGAAATATGAAGCCCCTAGTGATAGAACATAGCAGCAGACCTGCTGCCGGGACTTTGGCAGCAAAATATGGATGCTTCTCCGTGAGCAGGTTCCGGATTTCCGTCAATTTCCGCAGCGGCTGGTATTGGGCAGGGTACCATGGCTAGTCGCGGTCTTGAGGTTAAATCTTGAAAGATCAGAATTTGAAGAATGTACGTCTACTGCAGGGTCTTCTCGACTCCATTGCCACGAGCATGTGTCAGTAAGCCTTCTTATTCACTAAGCGCAGCATCCGTTGCACAAGGAGCATCTTAACTGGTTTTCTACATAATCTTTTATGGCACTACACTGTTACTCATGTTGGCGCCTGGAGAGCAGACATTGTTTTCAGGGTCCAAGTTAGGCAGGGTTCGTTGTCACCCTGTGCCGTCAAAAACTTTATCCGCCCTGTACGTAAAAGATTGTCGATCATGAAACCATCCACCACGCTCTCCTATATCTTGGGGCAATCAGAACATCCCTTAATTATACCTTATTTGACCGCGTGACGTATCGGGCATAGTAATTTTCTGTTCAAGTCCAGGCACCAGCTTCTGGGCCTGAGAGGCAGGCTGTTGGGTCAGCTTGTGAATGAGCTGGAGTATGCTTAATTGAAAGTGGAACCTCTTTATCGGCGAATATTCGGGGATTTATTCTTCAAAAGAGGTCTCTATAGGCTTTTTGGTACGGGATCTTGCGTGGCGACCCCGTATCTTGGTGGGACTTGGTATTTTTTTATGCGGACCAGGAAAGAAGGCTAAACGGGTATTAAAAACTCTATCGTGTAATCCACCTTTGCAGAGCAATATGGAGGTGGTGCTATCTATAGGACGTAGTTCGTCTGCGCCACTGACCAACTTATGCAGGTACGCAATGCTAGAAGATCGCTCTAGACGCTACAGCACAACTTAAGTAGTCAATACGCTGGTCTCGATCATTTAGCCTATCACGTTCAATTGTGGCTTTACTAGCGTCAACCTTGGTTGGTATCTAACGCATGGGTGTGTTCTGGTTGCTACGTGGGTAGAAGGATATCAATTGAATTGGTTTTAGAGGTACTACCGTCTTTGGAATCATGGAGTGTAGCAGAGCGTCTTAGCAGGGTCATTGTACCGATATACATATGAGAGACAATTTCATGGCAGTTCAGGTGACCTTTGACAAATAAACGCTTACTTGATACACCAATATGCCTAGATGCTCGCGGTTCCCGCTTTGATTACGGCTTCTCTATCGCAAAATCATACTTCTTCTGCGTGCTGGGTAGAGAATTCCAATCTTAGTCAAATTCTGTAGTAAACTTCTCTGCCCCGCTGCCAAAGTATGAAACCTCTTCTCCATGTGGGCTGTTTAGCTACAGTCTGGCTGCATATTACCAGCGCTTAACATAATCCGTGACGAAGGCCAACTTTTCAGCGCTTACCCTGAGTCCATCATACATTATTTCTTCCACGGAACTACATGTCATGAATAATCAGAATCCGTGAATCAAGTGTACGTCAGCTCAGCAATTCCCTCATGGGGTTGACGGCAGGAGAGATACTGATGGGTTCAGGCAGCAGGATTTCTACTAACAAAAAGAACTCAACAGAACGCAGTGGGACTCCATAGAAGAGGGCGCTGTATATCTTCGCGGTGATAAGGTCGTCACTGCTCCATTTGGCGTTACCGTTGACGATCACGTTTTAGGGCGTCAATAGGCAGGCACACCTGGGGATAGAGTAGTATAGCTGTGGGCCCGGAATTGAACTTAGTATCTGGTTGATTACTAGTGCGATGCGATCTTTTCTAGAAAGGCAGGGTGGTCCACCAGAGCAGACTCTTGGCTGCACGATGGGGTGGAATTTTACGTCAGCCACTGATACGGAGCCAATGGAATATCTCTGGTGATGATAATCCCTCAATCTGGAGCTTGCTGAGCCTGCACACTAGGCTGCCATTACAAAAAATTGTCTGACTGGGAGAAACATTTTAGTTGAAACGCATGGTTCTCACGCCGGTCCCCGACAAAATCCGCCCACTCGGCAGATTACGGCCATCCTTTCACCCGTAGAAGGGGCTAGTACTATGTTCAGCCCTTCAAGATATCATAAGGTAGTCTTCCACTTCTCTCTTCAGCTACCTTTCTCATTCCATTTTCTTCTATTGCTTAATAACACTTTCTACCCTCCTATAGAAATGGCAGTTTACAAACTTCCATCCACCCCTTCAGAGACCCTTTAACTCATTACAATGATTAAACTTTATTAATTATAGACATATAGCGCTTTTTGATATGTAGTGGACGGCGCGTTGGTATATCCAGCTTTGTTACTAATAAATTCTCCATTTGTGTGCAATGCCCGCTATGTAGTTGTACGCGGGACAGACGGGTGTAGGGCAGGTCATACACCATCAGAATGGGCCGGAGACGCGCACAAGACGTGGTTACATAGGAAACTATGACCACTGTGCTGTGAGTACATGATTGACAGATTTAGCCTCGTTTTAGTGATCTCGCCTCCTGAAACTATGCTAAATATCAACTCCAATTCCCCATGCTTGTGGAATCAATCATGCGCCTGTTCATTGCTAGTCCATTTCTATACTACATACATTCACCTTTTATAAATCAGACCTTTCTAGAGATCTCTCTCTATTTAGCTAGGGTTCATCTTCTTCTAGCAGTGAGACATGCGGTTACTCCAGCAACGAATAAGGGTTGGTGCAGTCTAATCAAAATGCCCCGCACATCTTTTAGGTTTCCCCGCGGTTCCCGGAGCCCAAGCGTCCATTAACATAAACTTTCTTCCACACAACCATCGCCATATACCCATCAGCCTCCTTCTACTTCTCTTCCTTTAGTACACCCCTACAATGTCTGTAGCTGCAACAGAGAAGCGACCGGAGATCATCGAGATCGCCCGGGATCTGAATCATGTTCCCATGTGCGAGGAATACGAGCGCATGATCTCCGGCATGCTGTAGGAGACCTCATGCCATGTGCAATGCATGCATCACCTAACAGTCTCTTAGGTATAATCCCATCGTTCCCCGGTTGATGGAAGCTCGTCATCGGGCCCGCGGAGTCACTCAGGACTACAACAACCTAGATGCGAAATCCGTGTCGTACGAGAAGATCGCAGACGTGCGATTTGAGCTGCTGCAACAGGTGGTGGGGAGAGTCGGCTCTGGAACCTTTGTGGAACCCCCATTCAATCCAGACTACGGCTGTAACATTGTCATTGGCCGTGATTGCTTCATCAACTTCAAGTGAGATCACCCGTACATGCGGCAAGCGTTGTCGCTAACAAAAACCAGCTTCACTGCCCTCGACACCAGCTTGATCATCATCGGCGACCGCGTGCAGTTTGGCCCCAACGTCAACCTCTTCACGGCTGGACATGACGTCAGTGTACTCTCGCGCCGCAAGTTTGTCGAATTTGGCCATCCCATTCGCATCGGCGATGATTGCTGGATCGGCGGCAACGTTGTCATCTTGCCTGGGGTGACCATTGGCGAGGGCTCAACTATCGGTGCGGGTTCCGTCGTCACTAAGGATATTCCTCCTTTCTCTGTGGCCGTGGGAAATCCCTGTCGCGTGCGCAGGACCATCCCGTCGGCAGAGGAGGAGGAGCAGGACCCGAACAATCCTTACCGGAATATGGTGCGCGAAGATAGACAATAGACTGATACAGGTTAGGTGATTGGGATTCTATATATGACTGACCAGTCAAACCCATTTCTGAAATTCTGTTCATGTAGACCAACTATAGCAATCATTCCCTATTATATACAAACATCTCATTTATTTACCGTCCACCATAACCCTGTGCTCAGCTCAAAATTCAATGCAGACCTTGCCAACATGCTGCCCACTAGCCAGGTAGCCATAGGCCTCGACCACCTGGTCACGACTGAACTTGAACGTCTTCTCGACCGGCACGGGAAGATTCCGGTTTCCAATGAAACGCACCGCTTCTTCCAGCAGCTGCTTGGATCCCACCATAATACCACGAACCACGGCGCCCTTGCCAATAGCCAATGCAGCAACGTTCGGCATTTCCTCCTGGGAAGCCTGAGCTAGGAAACCAATCACCGCAATAGTGCCACCGTACGCGACGGCGTCGAGTGACTGCTTGATGGTCCCTGCTCCTCCGTTTTCGAAAATGTAATCTGCACCTTGGCCGTTCGTAACCTTCTGCACCTCAGCAGCCCAGTTGGGCGTTTTCTTATAGTTGATAGTATGGTCAACTCCATACTTCTCCTTGACATGCTGGAGTTTCTCGTCAGAGGATGAGGTGATGATAGTAGTCGCGCCGGCCGCCTTGGCCAGGACAAGACCTGTGATAGACACTCCACCGGTTCCTAAACAGATCAGATACTGCAACAACCAAGAGGAATTATGCATGACAACATACCCAAGAAAAGCACCGACTGACCTGGGCGCAGAGGTACGTTCCCATACAGAGCATTCCACGCCGTAACTCCGGTGCACACGACACCCGCCCACTGGGCATAACTCAACTTCGAAGACTCGGGGATCTTAATCACAGCGTGTGCAGGCACAGAGAAGTATTCCCGCATGACACCGTCAACGGGACCACCCATGCCCCAATGCCAGCTCCTCATGGGGCCGTATGTAGTAGCGAGGTCAAAATTGACGATAACCTTGTCTCCCTGCTGCAGTCCGGAGACACCCTCACCGACCTCGACGATGTCACCGGCAGCATCAGAGCCTGGCACGACCTGATCCTTGACTGGGAAGGGATATTGGCCGGTTGAGATGGCAATGTCACGGAAGTTCAGGGCAACACTGCGGACTTTGATGAGAACTTCATGCTTGCCGGCGGAGGGGATGGCTTCTTGGTGTTGGACCAGCTTGTCCCAGGAATCGCGGGCGGAAAGACGAAGAACAGTCTGGGACATGTTGATATATGTTTGTAGGTGTAGCAAGAGTTGTCTGTAGTCCTGAGTGATGGTACTAATATTTTTGCGATAGCACGATTCTTCTCGGTGTTGTTTTTATGTCTTCGATTATGAGGTCTAGTTACCAGTCTACAGTCGGCCACATTATATATTTATTTTGTTGTCGTATTTCTGCCCCAACTGGTATGCCCATAACGGTTGCGATGCGAGTTAACATTATTATTAATCGAGAATTAGTACAGAACACCATCATATTAAGCTTGATATTATTCTAATGAGTGCCACATTCTAAGACGTGGCTATCAGGAGGGTTGTCGTTGGGGTCAAAATGATACCTTCATAATGCGGCGATTGGGGCAGAAATTAAGGTACTTTTTGACCCACACACCAGTTAGATTATTGGGGAAATTATGATCTCATTGAGAACCAGTAACCAATAAAAACATCCCAATCAACCGAATGCATGGGGCCATTCGGCCTGCTGACTCATCTCTAACACTGTCCTCCTTTTCTGCCCCGATTCTGCTCCAATTTCTGCCCCAAAATGTGCCCCGAACTACCATCCCAACCCTTCCCATCATCGGTATCCAAGCATCATTTCCATCCCACTCTGAATGGCGCCAGGAAGACCCAAACTTCATATCCCCCCGTGTACCTTCTGTGGTAAGATCTTTAATCGGTCGCACCACCTGCGGCGACATGAGCGGATTCGTAAGTGGCCCTTCACCGCATAACCCTCCAATTCGGTTGACACTGACCTTATTGTAGATACCCAGGAAAAGCCGTTCCAATGTCACTGCGGCCGTGCATTTGCCAGACAGTAAGCCATTATCATGTAACAGCACCATTGAAAATGTCCTGCCAACATATTGAAGAGACCTTCTGAGGCGCCATGACCGGGTATCCCACTCGTCCACTGGACTCCAGTCGCCTCCAGAGAAATCACCCAACACTGGGTCTTCGAGCGCTGGTCCGGATCAAGTCGATCCAAACAACTCGTCCCTACCTGTCACTGCAGGCTTGGATAATGTCGTCTCGGCGCCGAATTTGTCTGCTTCGACAGTCCCATTTCCGAGTATAACCACTCCGACCGCATGGGACGAGCCATCCCAGGCACTTCCTGCTTTCTTTCCACCCCCACTGGAAAGCTTCCCCGAAATGGAGTTGGGGCAGGACCCAATATCCGATAACTTTGCCTTTGCATTTCCCAACTTTGTCCCCTCTCAATTCCTCAACACTGAGATCTCTCTCTCAGATCTACTCGAGCAGTTTCCCGCACAGGGGCCGGAGGCTCAGGGACAACGGCCGTCTTCAACGCCAGCTGGTCCGCCCGCTGCCTCTCCCGACGACACAACAGACTACCCTGGTGACTTGCCTGATCCTAAGTACCGGTTACAGCGACGATTGCCATCGCTAGATGATCAGCCGCACAAAAGTGGCCTGGATGCGCAGCTCGACGCGGCAGGATGTCCGTGGGCAATCTCCGCTGTCGCTTACAAGGTCATCGTGGACAAATTGACCGCGAAGCGGACCGCCTTGGGTGAGTTTTTATTACCATCCAGGTGCGCTCTCGTGCGGTATCTGGAAGGCTTTTTCCGAGGCTTTCATGATCACCTTCCGTTCCTGCATGTGCCGACATTCCGCGCAGAGACTGTTGAACTGGAGCTCCTCCTTGCGATGGCGGCTGTCGGAGCCTTGCACCGATTCGAGCATCACAAGGGTCACCAATTGTACATTGCAGCGAGGTCCTTGATCGATCAGAACACACAGGATCGTCGTCGCAGGTTGGTTAGCCAGTTAGTCGGCCGTTCGCCAGGTTCTGCAGCGTATGCTAGTACTTTTTCAGACAGTCGCCGCAATTCGAGAAACCCAGCCAGTGCAAATGACATGGCTGAAGACAACACCAGTGAACTTCAGCGAGCACAAGCCTTGATCGTTCTGACAGCCATGAGCTCCTGGGGTGATGAAGTACTTGCGCAGGATAGTCTAGCGATGAGCAGCCAGTTGGCGGTGCTCGTGCGGACTCTGGGAATCCAAGAAACGGACAACTGCGCAGACGCCGAACTGAGCTGGCCGGCGTGGGTGGCACACCAACAGCGGCGACGCACCTTCTTGATCGCATACATCGTTTTTAACCTGCAAAGCATCATCTTCAACATTCCACCGCAAATCCTTACCAGCGAGGTGGCCGTGTGTCTACCCTCCTGCGAATCAGAATGGAGGGCCTCATCACCCGCTGCGTGGGAGCGACATCGCGCCGTGTCCCGGCTACATGAACGCGCATTCACCTCGACGCTCAACGACCTTCTCAACGGAAACGATATTACCAACCATAGTCTCATATCTCCATTTTCCAACTATATCCTCATTCATGGCCTGGTTCAGCGCATCTACTTTGAGCGACAAGCCGCCGGCGGCAGTTTACGCGCCCCGCTCATAGAATCCCTCGAATGTGCACTGAAGCACTGGCAAGCCAGCTGGGAGAGCACCTGGGAGTCCAGTCTGGACCCATACTCTCCCAAGGGACCTTTGGGTTTCAACGCGACCGCACTGCTCCGACTGGCTTACATCCGCTTGAATTGCCGGATAGGGCTCTGCCATGAGCTCCTATCTAGCGATACGTCTCGGCTTAAATCACTCATCACTTCAACACCACCGCTGGACCATATAAGTCGCTCGCCTTCCCTCAATCGCGCTATCCTCCAGTGCATTCACGCGCTGAGTATCCCTGTGCGGGTGGGAATTCCCTACGTCGCGTGTACACAGACCTTGAGTTGGAGCGTGCAACATTCCATTTGTCACCTTGAGTGCGCGGTGCTATTGATACGGTGGATGCAAATGCTAGCGAGTGCGGTGGCAGCACACGGAATTGCAAATTTGCGGGAAGACGAAAGGAAGCTGCTCCACATGGTGGAGTACTTGATTCAAGAGACGAATTGCGTGGAGGAAGAGGACGCCAAGGAGGGAGAAAGCAAAGCGGAGAAGATCCAGCGGCTTGCAAGGATGACCGCGCAGGTATGGACGGAGATATCAAGCGGGATTCATGTCTTCGATCTGGTGCGGAGGATTGGGGAGGCGTTAAGGGGTATTGCGGACGTTATAACAGGGAAAGGGAGTAGTGAGGCATATTATCTCTCGTCTAGCTCTGGAAGTGTAAGACGCTGAGGGACAAGAGTTGGTAAATATCGATTCATACTATCAAATTTATCATAGCACCGCTATGAGTTACTTCAACGCCGGCAGCGCCAACGCAAAGACATTTTGCGGGTCAACCCTCTCCTTCAGCTCACGCACCACATCCGCATTGGTACCAAAAGCCTTTTTGACCGCCTCATCTGGCTTCATACTCGCCAATCTCATCAAAGACACATACGCCGTGGACAGAACATTCCCCTCGTCGACCTGCGCAACCTCCTTTGCCGTCTGAACCGCCCACTCCTCAGATGTGCCCGCATTTTGCACATCCGTAGCACATCCGAGAATCTCAAGCATATAATGAGGCTCCCTCGTTGCAAACACGGAATGCTCGAGTTTGCTTACGTCTTCACCAGCAGACTGTCCCCGCAGCTGATGGATTGAGAGCATCGTGCCCGGATCCGACGGCATCAATGCCACATTCCGCCCAATCACTTCCGCCACGGCCGGGGTGATGCACCGGACGTTATGCGTCTGGAGGGAGCCATAGACAGCTTCTGGGACGAGGGCACCATTACTGGTGAACCAGTCCGGGATAGTTGTAGGGTCGACGGTGCTAATGAGAAGAGGGGCGAGGGAGGAGATTTTCTCGACCCATCATTGGCCCTCTTCGAGGTCAGGATGGCTCCATGTGAAAAGCACAGCGAAAACGCGACCATGAGGACTGTTGAGGGCGGCCTGCTGCAGGGTCACTAAGGGAGGAAGGCCCTCTGTGCTGAGAAAGTCCTCGTAGGCGGCATTGAAGGTGATGATTATTTGGGCTATATCAGTCGAGTCAAAGATGATAGCACCAGCGAGGAACTGTAATTTAAGTATATATCATATATGATATGATTTAGGGAAAGAAGAGAAGATACCTTTGTAAGTGGATAAACCTTGATAGTAACATCAACAATGATGCCGAAGATGCCCCCTGCACCACGGATACCATGCAGGAGAAACTCATCAGTAATAATGATCTTCTTATTAGTATCCACCACCGTGGCTCCCAGTATCTGATCAATATTTAGCCTCTAATGAGACGAAAATGGCCCATAGCCGCTATACATGGCCCAGCTGACATATCTGATGGTAGGGATAGAACCGGTCGGAGTGTCCAGCTTCTCCTTCTAGAGGATACTAGTAAGTTTACCCTGAAGAATATCTTCCTGGACTGTAGCTGATTGATGATCCTGGGCGATAGTAACGGTCGTCAAGGCGCGCAGGTTGATGAGGAGGGCGCCATCTACAATGGAGTGACCCTCGAGATTGTGGCCGCCCGAGCGAACGGTAAAGGGTACGGCATTGGACTTGGTGAATTTGACGACCGCTGCAACATCTGCGGCAGACTGGGGCTGCACGATGGCCAGCGGACGGGCGTTGATGCCGGCGATCCACCCCCGGCTGGCTGTGAGCACATACTCGGGGGAGGTGGGCGGGATGTAGCCAATGCTGGGGTGTGAGAGGAGAAAGGCCTCCAGGGCTGTTACTTGTGCGGAGCCGGTCATGGCGATAACAATATTGCTTTCTAGCAAAAGGGGATGAGTACTGAACGAAAGAAGTGTTCATGATTGATTTATAAGAAATAAAAGAGGGGTCGTGTTAGGCTATCCGGCGGCTGACTGCCATGCAGTCATCAATTAGTTAGTATATTGCATAAGGTTGGCTGGGACATGCGGACCGTTGTTCCATATCTCACCTCATCATCCCCGGCATCGTAGATGCTATATTGTGTATTCAACCCTCTGAATTCCATTGTGGTGCCACCTTGTTCCAAGTCAAATCAAACCCCGCCCTCCAATAAGCTGAACCTGAACTTTTCCTGGTGCAGTTAATACTGGGTTGGCATCAGCACTACTGGGTAGTAGATTGCTCGGACCTCGCCCCTGTTGTCCATGATTGGTCGATCCGTCTGCCCGGAGGAACTTTGGTAGGGTTTTTGTGGGTCACTGAATTCGTTGAATCTTTTGGGGCTGTTGCAGCCTTGTAACTCGGTATGTGAATGGATGTCTGTCGGTATATTAGTGCATAATATACATTAGGATTCTTAATACCTCGATGTGTAATATATCCGAGACCTATTATTCAGCTGGCTGTGCTTTTAGATCCGCTATGCGCGGAGCAGTTCTTGTTACTAGAAATGAGGCTCCCTGACTCAGATCCCCGGGGATTTCTCTTTGGATAACCACGAGATACATTGGGGATGGGTACCCTAAAATGCATTGCACGTTACATGCGAAAAAGATAGTAGTTCAGGTGGGTAGGATAAATTCATACGCGGCAATTGGGAAATCACGTGGGATGCGTTTCCGTTTATTGCACTTGTCCTGAACAATAGCTGTTGAATGCTCATGACAAATATCGCTCGGCTCTACAGCTTGTGTTAACAGTATGTAAAAAGAGGGCAAAAGGTGTAAAGGAAAGAGAAACTGCATGTGCATGGACAATAAACTATCTGCGTCAGCGTGAAGAAGCATATCCGTCCAAAGAAGAATTCTATTCTCTGGAGAGCGGATCTCGGCTGAAGCTGGCTACTCTGGCACGGTTCTAGCATCAACTGACAGTGACAAGAAGTGATAATATAAGCTAATCAAAGATTCTGCCAAGCTTCAAGGCATCCAAGCACATATGCGAAAGTGGGCATATAACAGTCCCTGAAACGGATCCACGGCCGGTTGACCTGAAAATGAGCATGGCCAAGACTTACCAGGCAAATTAAAGACAACTTCGGACTTGCACTACATACGCTAGCTGTGATTGATGTCTCACCTTAGTTCCAACGACATGGGCGTATACTAACCCGCTGTGCGGGGATTTGTCGCCCTCCGTCGTAGAAGCTGCAGTATATCGTTTTGGTCTGCTGAGAATTCATACCTATTCTGTGAGATAACCCTGCAATGTCGAGCGCATGAGTTGCCCACAGGAGCGACACTGCCCTACACGGTGTCACTTCTTGTCGCAGCTTCCCCTTGTGCGGGACCGCGGTAGCCGAGCTAACCCTAGGCGCGAGCAATAGACTCGACTCGACAACCTACTCGGCCGGAAGCAGTCGCATGTTCAGAACCGAAAAATGCCACGAGCCAAGGGCACTTCGTTCTTGATCCAGAGGCATGCTTTGCCTACTTTGAAGTACTCGAGTGGCATTCATTGTGGAGCAAAATGTAGTCAGCGGAAGTTCGGAAAACTACTAAACTGATAGGAGTAACTTGTAACGCCCCAAAACATGGATAAGCTCACAACCGTCATCAAGCCTGCATCGTTCCTACGTCAGTAGCGTAGTCCTTGCCGCTTTCACCGATCATTTTGCTCTGTGGACCCTCGTTGCCGGAGTGATACCTTGGAGGGTTAACTGGTGCGCAGATCCGTCAGTCTCAAACCTCTAGCCGAAGATGATCGGCAGGAGGCCACGCCAGCTTTCCCCATCAACAGTCAGAAGTGTATCGCTACCACAGCCGCCACCCCGACCTCCCAAAACAAGCTCCAATGAGGGCCCCTTGACCTCATGTGGCTGGGACCCTTCGTCTTTGCATCATTCTGCGTTTCAGGGCAGGGCTGACTACTGCCTGGTCCCTTATTGCAACACCCTGAAGAGCGACAGGATCCAAGCGCTTTAGGTAGGCACCACGAAGTCATGACACATGTTCGAATAACTGATATGCTATCCACTGTCTTCAAAGAACATGGTATCTGCGTCGAAATTAAGTTAGCCGGAGGCTTGCATTCGGGGAAAAATGTTCGCGCAGCATCGCTACCACGCCGGCGACATGATGAATGACAGTTCTCCTACTACTTTTGAACCGGCATTACCTAAACAGAATAGAAATCCACGATTCCAGCCTTGCAGGTCGTCCGGAGAAATCAAAATTGTGGACACTGTTGAGTCAATGTGACCAACACGGCCGAACAGTTAGCTTCAGCCCAAGTCTGGCCCAGGCACAGGGGAAGAGCAGCGGCGTCTCGCTTCCATTGTAGACAGGATTGTCCCGAGACGTCTCTCTGATTGGATATAGATTATCGATCTGATATCCCACGACCAGCCTGCTCCAGGGATGGCTGGAGGGATGATCGACACAGCCTGTTCTGGTCCCACCTTCAAGTGCCGATCGGTCACAGACAACTCACAAGGGACCCAGATACAGCAGGAAACGTGCAGTGTGGCTGGTACAATGATACAACATGAAATCCCCTCAGGCAATACTGAAACTGTGGTGACTTCACTGAGATTCCCTGATCTTGTGGATGGCCGCCATATCACCTCCACGTCACAATATTCCCTCAAACGCTGTCAGTGCCCCTTGCACTGGCTTCAAAGCTTAGATTATGGGCATCCAGCAAGAAAGTAGTCCAATTGGCTTGATCATGAGCCGTCCTCGCTGATCGCTCCACTCGGCAACTGAGGACCTGGAGTGGCCTAACCTCGCAAGCAAACCCCCATGGTACCTGAACGGTGCCGAACTCGGAGAGAACCTACCAGGTGCTCTGTAACCTGTTCACCTCCCACGTTGAACGATGATCCTTCCTCAAGGTGTATGGCTAGGCGTTTCAGGGCAGTTGGGCACATTATAAAAGAATCTCTCTGTCCGCTCCTTGAGATACCATCCTCACAGCTCAATCACTCTGGAATCAACCCTCAAAAGCCATTCTCTCTTTCATATCTTAATATCAATATGAAGCTTACCGGAGCTGTCTTGGCCAGCCTTGTCGGCTGCGTCGCTGCCCTGCCCCCGGCGCCTTTCTTCAACGGCCCTCCTCCCCCTCCCTCTGGCTCTGTGGCGCCCGCTCCTGAGGAATCTTCTTTCCCTCCGCCTCCTCCCAGCTCCGTCTCCGGTGCTCCTCCCTCCGCGACTCCCGAGCCCTACGAGAAGCGTCAGTTCGGTGGCCATTTCGGTGGCCCCCAGCCTTCCGGTCCCCCTGCTGGTCCCTCCGGTTCTTTCGGCCCCGCCCCCTCCGGCTCCCCTGAAGGATTCGGTAGGCGTCAGTTCGATGGCTTTGGCGGCTTCGGTGGTCCCTTCGACTCCGCTCCCTCCGCTACCCCCTCCGCCTTCCCCGGAGCCGGCTTCGGCTTCGAGGAGCGTCAGTTCCCCGGTCCCGCTGCGTCCGCCCCCGCTGGCCCCCCTCCCTCCGGTACTCCTTCTCCTTTCCCATTCGGTGACTTCGGTGGCTTCGATAAGCGTCAGTTCGGTGGCCCCGTCCAGTCTGCCCCCGCGGGTGCTCCTTCTGGTGCCCCCGGTCCCGCCCCCTCTGAGGGCCCCGGAGGCTTCGGTGGCTTCGGAGGCTTCAAGCGCCAGTTCGGATCTCCTGCAGAGGGGCACGAGCAGGGCCCTCATGGCCAGGCTCCTCCCTTCCCCAGTGGTGTCCCTTCCTTCGCTCCTTCTCCGGTCCCTACCCCTTCGGGTGCCATTGAGGAGCGCCAGTTCGGTGGATTCCCTACCCCGACTCCTGTCCCCAGCGGCCCCGCTGGTGGCTGGTAAGCATTTCATATCATCGACATGGGACACGGTGATCCACGTGTAGCATAGCGCTTAGGTGTGCTGCAGTAATGGAACTGTATAGTCACTGTGTTGAGTATTAGACTCGCCGTGCTGCGAAGTGTATATTGGTGGACTTGAAGACCTGGGATATATGTGTTATGTTAACTAATTCTGCTTTATGTGTTAATGTCTTTCGTTTATATGGCCTTTGGTCAGAAATGTTCTGTGCATGTTTCTAGAGACTTAGCAACGTAGAACATATCTTGTACATTTTACGATGCGGCTACTGCAATAACTCCCACCAGAGACTGCACCGGAGAATGACAATGGTCGTCTTGGTTGAGACTGGGACCCATAAGCAACAAATTCAATTTAGGAGTTTCACATTTTAAGATCTGTAGCTAGAATGACATCCTAATAGGTCGGACTAATTGAGTGCTCATTGGCGGGTGCCTCTTGGGTCGGGAGCGGGCTGCACGGATGCCCAATCTTATCACCGAAAACACCACACCCTAAATGATCATTCCAGCTTTCTCACCCAGACAAGCCTTCTACAATCAATCACGAACGTTTTTCTTGGCGAATATTGATAGTGTGACATGACTGAAGATTGCCTTCGCAAGTTATCGTCGCCGACGACACAAATTGAAGGCTGAAGATGGCAGCTGAGTGCGCCCGGGCGGTCCCAACACGCAACAGATTGTTTCCTTTGACACGATTGTGTGAAATTGCCCATGAACGCTTCGCTTTTGTATGTAGAGCGTAGTAGCCGTTTTCGCGAAGTGTTTGATGGGACAATGCGGGTAACCGTGGCTCTATAACAGTTGACGAGTTTTGCACATTGTGCGCAACAGTCGTGGAAGCCATTCAGGGCCGAACATATCGGGTTGGGAAGCCGAGAGCGAAACGCTTAAATTATATGTCGGACGCGTTTCTAGTCCACCCTGAGGAACCCCGGCTTAACCATCCAGTATAAACGGGGAGGATCCAAGTATTAGAAGACGACAATCGTCTTCTACAATCTCAGCCCCACCTTTATCAGGCAGATTTATTTGGTCGCGGGATAAACGATGGCAAAATTGATTTTAGCCTTGTGCGTTCCTGGCTATATGAGTGTGACGGCTATGGTCGCGCAGGCAAGCAATCACAGTCCACTAACATCATCCTAATTGATGTTCAAGAGAATCGATTGGTGCGAGAGCATCTGATACTAGATCCCTGGCCTTCAGTTATGTCCGATGGCAAGCAAGGGGACTTCAGACAATGAATGAGAACTATGAGGAACTGCACGAGAAGGGATCTTTGCAACCCGAAGGAAATGATATACCATGTACCATTTCCGATACTGTGCTACTCGTACGCGAGCTCCATGAACGCTACCTATTGGTTTAACGTTTGTGTGTAATGTGCAAAATAGCGAAGCCAAGCACAGCATCATTCAGGCAATGGGACAAATCATTCTCATGCACTTTCAGGCATATTCGCACACTAAGCGGAACAGATGCAAATCATGGCTTACCTGGTGTGTGACCTGGGTCGAGACTTCACTTACTCGGCGGCCACCGAGGAAAAAAGACCACAATGAAGAACACTTTCCAATTTGTTCTTGGGCGGGCTGGATATGTCCTATACAATATGTCTCCATTGATACATATGCCTTTGAATCGCCGTGGCCGAGGGGGATTTATACACCAATCAAAATAACACTTATTGAGTCAAATGGCCATTAAGTGGCTATCTACCAGCCTCCGAATCCTTTTCCTGCCGACTACTTCCGATGGAGCTACATTCTGCCACGGGCACATTCCTCCAAAGCTTGCCTTGTGAAGATAATCCTGTGTTGAAAGGGCGCAGCATTCTGCATTTCCATACAAGGTATTGTCCGGCCACTGGATTTCCCTACGAATAGCTCCCTGACTGTGTAGACCATGATGGTTCAACTCATACGCCGTTCTTTAACGCCCATGGCGTGCCGTGTGGTATCCTTGTCGGTAAAACACCATCAAATCTGAGTCGTCTACTTCCTAAATGCAGGTACGTGTTTTTGTGCTCTGCAAAGGTTTTACGCCGAAGCTCTGGGGTGAGAAATGATACAGTCGTTTGGATCGAACTCGAGTTTGACGAGTTCACTCGCGTCCCATTCTTCCTTCCTTTATATCCCTGTAATGGGCTCTAGGAAACAGTTGCTCTAACTATAATTACATGGGAAGCATTCGAGAGCGCAGCCGGAGTGGGAGGACATCCTCCTAGCGTAAGCTGATGATTAGAGGCTCAGAAGCAAGGGAAGCCACCTTAGGCGTTTCAGGCGGTCATACTCATCTAATTAATGAAGGCTCTATGGATCCATGTGACGAATAATGCTATCGGATTCGTATGTGCCTATGTGTGCGAATTATGTGATAGTAATTGCAATAAGCGAACGTCTATTCATGTTATCCTGTCTATGTAATCTATCCAATCTAGCGATTCTATCATAACACCCTACCATCTGAATAGGACACCTAACATCCTCAGTCTAAGTAAGTCCTCTGCCATCCCTACAATACCTCTCACTACATGGAAGCGTAGTCCTCCAAGATGGCATCGGCAATCTTCAAAGCCATGGCGTAGAAAACGGTCATAACATGGGACGACATCTGCGTAGGGGGAATAGAGCCATCAATGACCCGGAGTCCTTGAACACCATACACACGGGCAGCATTGTCGACAACACCGCCCATCTCCTTCGGCATCATGGAGCAAGTACCCACACCATGGTAGTTAGGGCGGAAGTTGTACGGGATATACTCAACCCAGGCACTCAGGTCGGCATCATACGCGAGGTTGTCACCGGGAATAGTCTCTCCAGCAAAGTAAGTCTGCATGGCACCGGAGTTGGAGATGTTGCGGGCCAGCTGGGTAGCGGCAGCCTGACCGAGCAGGTCGAGCTCGTTGAGGAAGTACTGAGGGTCGTAGGCGAAAAGGCGGAGGTAGGGGTCCTTGTCGAGGATGTGGACGTATCCTCTAGTGAAGGGCAGAAGATCCCACACATCGAAGCTGGCCACTCCAGCCGTGTCGAGGAAGAGTTCCGAGTATGCGACGTTGTGGTTGACGATCCAGTCGCGGTAGTTCTCGTACTGGATGAGCAAGGCGGTGGTGTTGTGGAATCCGCCACGGGCGACGGCCTCTTCGGCCCACTGCTCCAGCTTGGTGTTGAGCAGCTCGTGAGCCTTTTCAGCGTAGTCGCCAAAGGTCTCGTTGAAGGTAGCGAACCAAGCGGCCTGTCCCTGTCCGGCACCGGCGGAGGTGATGCGTGAGCGGACGGTAGAAGTGGTCTGGTCCTGGAGGTTGAGACCGACGGGCAGTTCAACGACGGTGTCAATTCCAAGGGGTTCCAGAATGGACTTCATTCCGATACCGGAATATTCGAGGATGGTGGGAGAGACAGCGGAGCCAGCGGCCAGGAGAACCTCGTGCTTAGCGTAGACGTTGTGGGTGTTGCCCTTGTGGGTGCCAAATTCCACGCCAACGGCACGAGGGGTGGTAGCGTTCTGGTTGAGCAGGACCTTTCCAACATATTGTCCCGTCAGGACTTGCAGGTTGGGACGCTGGTAGTTGGGGAGGAGCCATTCGCGAGCGGCATCAGAGCGCACTTGGTCTTCGTGCAAGGTGTTGGGGAACATGGACACACCATGGGGGTCACCGCATCCCAAGTCCTTCTTGGTGGGAACGCCCCTGTCTTCGACAGCGCTCATGAGAGCACTGACGATGGGGGAATAGTCATCACCGGTATCGCGGGGCCCGGCGTGGACAGTACCATTGAGACCATGGCAGGATGCATTGAAGTAGTGGCCGGCAGCAATCTGTTTGGCATTTGGTGCGCGAGCACGCTCAGCCTGGAGGGAGTAGGCGGCCACGTTGTCCCAGTTCCAGCCCTCATTTCCGAAGACGGTCTCCCATGAGTCAACTTGTGCCTTGTGGGGGCGAGTCCAGGTGCCACCGTTGACCAGGGTAGAGCCACCGAGACCATTTCCGGAGCGGATCAGCGCAGTCTGATTGTTGGTGGCGAGCTCGACAGTCTCGTAGGCGTGGTCCACACTGCTGCCAAAAATGTCACCGTAATCGTTCAGGTCCTCAATGATAGGACCCCTGTCAGACTCGTAGGAGCCGCTTTCGATGACAAGCACAGTGATATCGGGGTTCTCCGTCAGACGGGCAGCAGTGGTGAGTCCCGTCAGACCTCCACCAGCGATGATGTAGTCGACAGTGCGGCCGGCAACATCCTTGGGGTCAGTCAGGAGGCTGGCTTCAATGCCATTGCTCCTGATGTAGTGTGGGAGGGCCGCAGCGAGGGAGACCACAAGCGAGCTCACAAAAAGAGTTTGCATGATGGCAGATGATGGGAGAATGAGAGATGAAAGGCTGGTTGCTGCTCAGAAGGTGACAGGAGGACCGAACCAGGTTATTTATACGCTCGAGTCAACGGTCCAGAACCAAGTTGTTCAATAATCCAATTCCTCTGCTTTCCAACAAGCCATCCTCATATTGCATACTGATAGGGGCTGTGAGCTGAATCTCATCCTCCGCGTGCTCAGCCGTCGGCATCCCGAACACATTAATCCGAAGCCATTATCCTGGATAGTAAAGAAGCGAATCCTTAGGCAGGTGGGGCGCAGAATTGGCGTCCTGATCCTTTGCCTCTCTCATTCTGTAGAGGCTGTGTCCTGCTCGTAGTGCCCAGTTGGCCCCATAATAGCTCACGGCCTAATGCTGACGATAGGCAGCCTCGTGGATGAGGAACTATACGAATCCTAGACGCAAATCATCATGGCGCCAAGGGCTACCGACTTTCGGCATGCCGAGAACACCGAATTCTAAGTTCTGCCCTTCCCGATTCGTACTCCGGTCAACCCTCGCCAAGTGCACAAACCATAGGGTCCTCGTCATGCTTTCAATGGAAAGCCTATAGTGTTTGGCATGTTCTCCACGGGGAGAGGGGCAATAGGAGAGTTTATTTGGACAGCCTGCCCACGTGCAAACTCACCACCAAGGTCAAGACAGGCAGTGCCGGTTTCAGGGTGATCAAACTAACCATTCTTCAGGTACCTGCAGTGTCCCGTGCACAGTATGATCTACGGACCGTCAGCGGGAACCATGGATCGTACTCATAATGCCGGTAGGTGGGCCAGGATGATGTACACGAGAGCATAGCATCCGCGCCCAGAAACGCCGTCGGAAACTAGCAGCCAGCCGAGCGCCAATTAGAGGGTCAATTGGGCTCATGAAGGAAGGGACTGTCTCACCGTGGAGCCTCTGCTATCCCTGCTTGGCGATAGTGCACTTATTCTTCACGCAGGTCTGCAGCCAAGACATAGGCAGCCAGTTCTAGTTAAAACCGGCGCTTATCACCCAGACACTCCCTCGGGTTCTGGAACTCACCTGCTTGCAAATCACCTCGTTTACCAATCCCGCCGTGTCCAGACTCTCTCCTTCAACAAGGTCGTTGACAAATTCCACCACCCAATTCTTCAGTCAGATTGAGTGAACTCTGATCACTTATCAGCGGGCATCGTTACTGCTGTAGAGATACGAGCTGAGTATCCCTGTCACCATGAAATTCAGTGTTGTGCCCCTCCTTTTCGGAGCAACCTCCGCCGTTGCCTCCAGACTTTATGCTGCCTCGTACGCAGGCACCGTGACCACCCTGTCCTTGTCCCAATCCTCCAAAGGACAATATGAGTTGGAAACAGTGGCCCAGTCCACTGACTGTGGTACCAACCCGTCTTGGCTGATGCTGGACCACGACAACCGTGTCCTGTACTGCCTGGACGAAGCTGTTGACTTGGCCAACGGTACCCTGACCTCCTTTGCCATCCGGCCTAATGGCACCCTATCCAAGGTGGTACAGCTGGAGACCATCGCCGGCCCAGTCATGTCGCAGTTCTATTCGGCACCGGGAGTGCCACACCGCAAGTTCTTTGCCGTGGCTCATTAGTAGGTCGATTTTCCCATCTCTACCACTACACTATTAACCTCTCATCACAGTGAGGGATCCGCTGTCACCAGCTACTCCCTTGACCCCGTCAGTGGTGTCTTCAACCGCTCCCAAACCTTCACCTACACCCTTCCGGCCCCCGGTCCCGTCGCAGACAGACAGGACGCCCCCCACTCCCACGGTGTCGTCGTCGACCCGACAGGACGGTTCGTCCTCGTGCCTGATCTCGGTGCTGACCTGATTCGCATCTTCCACATCAACCCTTCTACGGGCCTCCTTGAACCCCAAGCTCCCCTCGTAGCAGCACCTGGCTCCGGTCCTCGTCACGGTGTCTTCTGGACACCTGCGGGAACCACCGCCAAGCAGGCCAAGCACGAAGATGTCGTGTTCTACCTGACATCAGAACTGAACAACCACGTCACCGGCTACAAGGTGACGTATCCATCTAACGGAACCATCTCCTTCACGGAATTCTATACCGCCAACTCCTACGGCGGTGCTGTTCCCCCGAATGGTTCCAAGGTCGCCGAGATTGCCATCTCCGTAAGTCCAAACCCCACCTACTCCTTACTTGGTTGCAAGGAGCAACTAGCTAACAACTGTCGTCCACATTGTAGCCCCAAAACAACCGCCTCGTCGTCAGCAACCGCGACGACAACACTTTCGGCACTAACAACGATTCCATCGCCGTCTTCAACTGCGCTGACGAGACTGGCAGCCGTCCTACCAACGTCACCTTTGGTGGTCTATACCCTGCTTATGGGTCGTCGCCGCGCCAGTTTGAGATGTCGGCACGCAACGAGATGATTGCCGAGGCATTGCAGAATTCCCATGCGGTGGGTGTGACGAAGTGGAATGGAAAGACCGGAAAGCCGGTGCCGCTTGTTGCGTACAAGTCTCTGGTTGGTGAGGTGGTCTCCGTTGTTTGGGATGAGTAGGCAATGCCTTAGTTGGTTAGTTGTTTGGTGCATGTGGGAATGCACTTAGTTTGGTGTGGTATTTCAGGGTATGCTGCGAAGGGGACACTCCTGTCGTTTATTGACTTTCTTTCTTGGTTAATGGCCCTCAGTGGTGAAGTCGAATTCATACGAGTGATAGGAATACACGACCAGTCAATGTCAAGAAGAGGTCTTGTAGCCAAAGGAAGCTCGTAGACAGCCACTAGTCATCTCTCGTAGTCCTATTAAGATATTTGACCTTGGTAATCCTCAGGTAGAGCAGCCTATACCTAAGGAAAGGGTATATACAGTAAGGGCATATTCCACACGGTCGCAACGAGGTGGAACCTTTGTAAGGTCTGAAGGTTTACTTCGCGCACATTTCATGCAGTCATCGCCAAAATCCACCGGCCACAGCGCGAATTATTCCTTTTGAAAGTGTTGCTAGCAAGTCCAACTCCCTAGTAACCACCTCAAAGGTGGGCGCCACTGAGAATACCACGCTCACTCATCACTCTCCAAGATATCGGCATATCTGTTGAGAGAACTTCCAATCAGATTCACCAACTGCCAGATATAATCAGCCGTAAACAGCCTGGCCCATAACCTGGTGACAGTAGCACTGAGACGAGTGTTGTTAGCAAGTAGCCATTCCCGAGACACTCCATGCTGGGCTTCCATGACCATTTCCAGCACGAATTCCAGTAACTTGTTTTCTTGTTCAGTCAAACTCGGCTCTGGATTGGGTATCGTGGCCACCTCGAGCCACTTCGCGAGTAGCACAGCACATTCCAGGGAGCATAATGCGTACTGGTTTGACCATGATACGACGAGGGTACGGGCGACGTAGTTGATGCCCAGTTTAATGGGCGTACTAAGTGCATGGGCGCAGTGTAACGCAGCTCGAGTGAGACGGTCGCTCCTCTGTACGGATAGGTTATTCTTGAGCGATCGGGCAACCTCATCCGGATTCCATGTTTCCAGTCGACGGGCGGAGCTGAAATCAGCATTGAGTCGGATATACGCCAGACGGAGGAGGGCAGTGGACGTGAAAGATACTGGACCGTGGGGATTGAAAGGATCGATTGAGGATTCTTGGTTGTGCTCCCAGCATTGACACCAGAGTTCCAGAGCTTGCTCTAAGGAAGTAATCACGGACGGAGACAGAAAGCTTCCGTTGGAGACAGGGAGCCTGCTAGCCTTTTGGATTAACCAGATGTTCTGGATCATCGCGTGTATGAGCACGTATCCTCCCAGAGAAGAGAAACTCTCCAAACTGGTCTTTGCTGCACCAGTGTGAGTGAATAATGAGTTCATCGCGTCTTGTAATTTTGGCTCCCCGCGGCTTTGACTGCGCTCTTCCAGCCACTGGCTCGCGCTTGTTGCTGTCCATTCTCGCTCAGTGCAGGGTAAGTCCAGCGTCAGCTCCTCGGTCAGGATTAGCGGCGGAATGTCAAACACGATCGTGTGGACACTGAAGAAACAGAACACAATAAGCTTTGTCCGTTTGACCATCTCATAGCGGATCCAGCTTTCCCATGACCCATCTTGAGCCGGTAAGTCATTGAGGCCTCCTTGCCGAAGAAGAGTCTCCATGAAACTTCGAATATACAACGCTTCGTGATGAGGCGGGTCGCGCTCAAACCAACACGAAACAGATATGAGCAGCAATAGCGCTTGCACCGTCTCAATGATATCTTGGCCTCTGGATACCGGGTCCACCGGACCCTCGGTCTGCGGACTTAGACAACCCCATTGCAAGTCCCTTCGGACGTGCTCGAGGGTCACAGCCTTGGCCACTTTGTAAAGGCTCATACTTGTTTCGGGTTCCCGGCAATATTGGGCACCCACGGAAGCCATACCAAAAATTAAATGCAGAGGCAAGGAATCAACATCGAGGGTGGGTGGATGCATGAAAGGATAATGGCAGTGAAAGTTGGTCATGTAAGCGCTGATGCATCTGGACAGGGCATGTCGAGATGGTGTGTAGGGATTGGGGACAACATTTGAGTAACTCGATAACTCGGCGACGATGCGATCACGGCATTGCGCGGTAACCGAGATAGGTGCACTCGGGTCGCGGGTCTTGTAAGGCGTATGAGCTCCTTCGGGCTGAAGCGAAGGTAGCTGTGTTCCATGTCTGGGAAGGATGGAGCTGGAGGGGGTCGTAACCTCATTGTTGGTCTTCGCAACAGGTTGGCTGTACTCTGATGCGGAGTCGAAGTGGAACGCGGGGAAAAGTGGAAGGGGCTGATAGGTAGGTGAGAATGGATGGCTGGGAAGCGGGATACTATCGAGAAAGGTCGTAAAATCATCACCGTCATAAGAGGTTACCGGTCCATAACCGACGAATGGCTCATTGAAGCCAGCAGATCCTGGAGGTCCTTGTCCGGATGGATTGGAAGTGGCTATCGAATGGCCCTGCACGGAGGCAGCCAGGCCGGGAGTGAACTGCTCATGAGGACCTGGGAGTAGGGCCTGTGGGCCTGGTATGGTGGCAGGCGTAGGATGATCAGTTACCGCGGAGGCCAGGACATTAAGACCATCAAAGACTTGGGGAGATGCCACGGAAGGCGATGATGTTGTTCCTTGGCCAGGAGCGGCGTCACTGTGGGCCAGACGTTCATGGCGGGCCAGAAGGTCTCTGTGGGCGAGATAACTCAGTAAATGCTGGTGGAGAAGTCAAGTAGGGGGAATTTGCCGTACTTTCGCGTGAATGACTTGGGGCATTGGGTGCAGAGATACGGCTTTTCCTTGGTATCTGGGGGAAACGGGGTCAATAGGAATCTCCAAATATAGGCGGGGATCATACGCGACCGGTCATGGCGTTGGAGATGTTCCAACCGAGCAAAGGTTCGGGAACATCGCTGGCATTGATATTGCTTGGAAGGCTTCACCATCACTAGGCCGGTGATTAGCCCGCTGAAGAGTTGCACAACAGGCAGGTTAACTAGCTCAAGGTGATGGTGATGATGATGCATTGCAGCTGAGAATCGCAAAGCAACCCAACCGAGTGCCAAGCCTCGGCTAGAATGCCGACACCCAGAGGCAGACTTGCCGCTTTGGGTTACTCTGCGGCCTCGGGGAGGACGGGCGCCACTCCGGTGGTTTGATCTTATCGCATCTACTACAAGATCGGACTATAACAAACATCTATAGTGTAAACTGGTATATATGTAACATTTATGGACTTATAGAAAATCTGTTGCTTAATGTACAAAGCCTGTTCAGGGTAACCAGTATATTCTGTGTAGTGTTCATTATTGCTGTCGAGGATGGTGTGCTACTGCCGAGATATATTTCTTCCGTTCCCATATATATACTGCTTGATCGTTCTCCTGCGTTTCCCGGTCAATGTTATGAGAGGATGGCCGATCGGAGCATAGAATTCGGACAGTGACCTGAGAGCTCCCGATTCCAAAATATCTTTTAGATTGGTGGCTCATCACAGGATTGCTAGGTACGCCCTTCTTTGTCTGAGCAGAATTTCGGGACCCGACTTGCTCTCTCTAGGAGCGCTCTCTTAGTATCCTTTTGTCTGCATAAACTATGACAAAGATCTTCAGGCGTCATGAGGGATCTGATTTGTAGGTGGCACCTGCACGATTATCGCGGTTTCCAGGTAACAGTCCACTATTTGAGTGAGACTAAACATCAGATTCAACCGGAAACCTCCACCAAGAAATCATTCGATATTCCTAGCGCTTTTTGTTCCAAGATGGCTGCCACAATATAGTTTTGGAACTGCTCAAATATAGCTCCTTATGTTGGATGCACCGAACCCTGGTCTTGTGGGGATCCGCTGGAATCCGATTGCTTCCTGGTATATTGTATGATCTTGGACATTTTCTTCTCAGCGGAGATAGTGAAGTCGCGTCTCACTCTGCTGGCCACGCTAGCCCAAGCGCAATGCCTAGGATGGAAATGGCGGGCAGAAGTAGTATTGGGCTCGGTTTGTTGGTTGATATCCCAAAGATTCCTCGACGAACTTTCTGCATCCAAATTGCCCGAATTTGATGTGTGAGAGTGGTACACGAATGTAACCAGTTGATTTAGGATGTCGAACTCGAGCTTCAGCTTAACACTGTATATGAACCCCTTTACTGCCGTTTGCGCCGCATACCGACCCGCCCATTCAAGGACCAGAATCGCGATGTCCAAAAATATGACGATGATATTCATGAGAATCAGGTGTAGCATCAGCCTCCGCGCAGCCTCTCGGTGTGTCCCTTCCAAGACCTCATCTTCCGAGCGAAGCAATCTGAACGTCTCGTATACGTAGACGCCGGATATTATGGATTCCTGAATAAAGAAAACGGTCACTTGGATTCGTTCGTATATGGCATACGGCAGCACGAATCTGTCGGAGGTCGAGGAATTCGCGCCGTAGCATAGAATGACAGTTGGGATCTGAAGTAGTAAGACATCGCAGACGATCATGCCAAGGATGAACCGAAGCATAATATGATGTCGCACGACAAGATGAAGACGAGAGTACAGCACCATCGACTGGCCGGTGACCATCGCACACCAGCCGACCACAATCAGCGTGACGTAGAAGTAGGATATGGCATTGTCGACGAGGTTAAAGTCTTTGAGGATAAACCCGATAGAGTAAACGGCGATGCCCCAAGTAGCGACCACGAAGCTCCAGAAGTAAAGTCCCTTGCGGCGCTTGAACGTCAGCAAGAGAATGAAGGTCAGCTCCACAACATTATAGAGAGCGATGGAGAGGAAAGAGGTGATGACGTAGGTAACGGGACGTGACAGCTGGGAGCCCACTCTGCTCCCTATGTCATCTAGCCACATGTTGTTCACAGAGAGCAACAGGCCGTTAGCTCTCTTGATTGCAAGATCTCTCCATCTGTGCCTTGTAGAAGGTTGTCACGAAGGAATGTATGCCATAGTATTCCCTGTATACCTAGGATAGACGGATCATAGATTTATTGCTTCTTGTCCTGCTCAAACCTGTCAGAAAATTTCAGAGGGCCTGATAGGCCATGTTGTGCCGTTGTTCCCTGGCTTCAGCGAAGCTTTTTGATATGGTCCCAGCCGAGTAAGGTTGAGCAGCAGCACAGGAGTGGCAGAAGATCGGTGACACTAGTTGGACCAGACGACGTAGATCATTT